AGGAATGACACGCATATTGAAGGCAGCTGAAGGAGGGATTCAACTCAGCTACTGCTTCCCAAGGGACCTGAGCGCCCTCATAACGCAGAACGGTGCATTCATATCTCTCTAGAGTTTTTTTCCCCAGTAAGATCTTCAATAATCCAAATGACATAAAATAAAAGCCAATTGCAAGGTATGTTACTAATACCGATTTCTTTATGCCACTGTAAGACTCAACACTATTCTGATGCATCTAAAATGTCATTTGGTTGTTTTAAACAAAGATTCCTTTTAAAAGGAATGCTATCAAAGTCAGTGGAAACCTTGGTCTCTTCATAATGTTTATCACTAGCTCATTCAATGGTAATTCCTGGAAAGTCTCCAAAGAGCTGCCTCTAGCTGACTGCACAAACCCATACAAGTATTTTGTGCCAAAATTAATACATGCAGCTACTGTTTATAAAGAAGCATTCAGAATAGCAACTGTGGTAATGATCCCTATACTACTTTCCATTTGGCACTACAGTTCATTTACTTATTTGACAGCTGTTTATAATTAATTAGCCTGTTAGGAATATGTTTTGGCAAAGCCAGCGACCTTACTAGCTCCCTCAGCCTGAAGAAGGACGGCTGGAGATAACACTGCTAAGGGATACATCCAAGGAAAACCATTTTGCCAAGTCTGTAGAGGGCAAGCTTCTCAGCAGGCAACACTCCTGCAGCGACTCTGCAAGGCAGCGCCGAAGAGAAGCATTTTGGAATCAACCACTCCTCAGATGAAAAATCTAACCGAAAAAGTTGTGACTTGGTAGCTCTTGTGAAAGACACTAAAAGAAAAAAGATGATCTTTGTTTCCAAGTCTCAGATATTGTGTAAGACTGAGTGCCTTCTTTAGAAGAACTCTTGCATATTCATTCCAACTGTTAAAAATATTTTTGACATTACTTCAAGGAGAAATAATATAATCATTTGCTTACCAAAAGAAGACTTCTCCATGAGTAGCTGCTGGCCACATTTAAAGCTTTCTCCCAATCCTAAAGTTCCCTTGGAAATTATGTGCATGCAAAGCATTGCTTATCTTTGTGAGCTTCGTGCTTATGCTTGGCTTTGTTTTTCAACACCAAGCCATGCCTCTGAGGACCAGGGCAGAATTAAGTGTGGCTCAGACTGTGGGAGGAGAGAAAATGTACTGATTGACTGTGTTTTATTTAATTCATAGGGGAGAGCCAGTGTTTCATTTTTACAACACTGTCGCAGTAGTACTGGAAACACTGGTTGTTTCTCTGCTTCTGAAAATTTCAAATTTTCTAGTTTTGATTAAACAGTTCCTGAAGCTACAATATAACTACGGATACACTCATACATTTCAAAAGTGTAAATGTCGGGAAAATACTCTGGAAAAGGATGCACTACTCCATATTTTCAGCTACACAGAGAACGGGAGCGATAGCTTGTTTGATGGCACAGAGCAATAGCACAGAACAGTTCAAGCTAGCAAGTAATGAGAACTGTAGACAAATAAAACTGGAGGGTACCTCAGCTAGGCTGTGTGTGTTTAAGGATGTCACTTAAGAATAAAGAGCTTTGAATGTGGCGAGTAGTAATAAAAGTAATTTGTCACTGTAAGGTTAACGTGTTGCATAAGTACCTAATACGAAATCTTCATGAATTTTGTGTTTGGAAACCATTATCCCCCTTTGTCAGATGGCTGGACACATGAAGCAATCTGCCCTGAGGACAGCTGAAACTCAGAGGTGGGAAGACCAGAAGTATGTTCCAGTCCTCTCTGAAATACCACACGCTTCCCAAACAGCCAATGGTTCTGCTTTATTTATTTTTTTTAACATTAATCTAAATATGTGCCCCTTCTCTTGAATCTCTCTAATGCTGTGAACACCAAAGATTGTTAAGCGGGGAAAAGCTGTCTGGCCGTAACAGTTTAGTTTATAATTGTCCTTAATGCCTTGATTCACCCCTGTGATTTCGTCATGCAACTTACAGAAATCCTCTTTTTCAAAAGTCATAATGTCATGATTATTCCTACGCTACCTTAATACAACAGCACACAGGGGCCATTTTTCTGCTTGCTCCAACAGATTTATGACATGTAATAAATAAATCATTGTACCATAATAGGTCACTTTTAACAAGTAAAAAATGTCTGACACTTTGAGTGTTACTATATTTTTTTATGGCTGAAAGTGTACAGAGATCAAAGTTTCATGTTTTTTTTTTTAGGCTTGCTCTTATACATCCAGACAAGACTGTGACGGAGGGGGCATTGCCACATGTTTAAAAATAAAGTCTCAAGTATGTCAGGAGAAGAAAAGAAAATTACTGAATGTCACATTTCCAACCCTTCTTATTCCTGAAGCAGAAGCTGACACACTTCTAAAAGAAAACTTTCTAGTAACATTATATGCTGCTACTGATCCCTCTGGGTTCCCCTGCAAATGAGTCAAGAGTCTGCAAGATACTTTTCTGGTAACACACATAAACAGATAAATAAATTATCACAGGCTGAGGACAATTTAAACATCTGGGAGCCAGCTCAGGCCTGTCAAGCAAGTCACAGACACTCAGGGACAGGAAAGATCAATCTTCAGCCTTGATTTCTGGGCAAGAGAGTAGGAATCATATTCCCCAACCTCCATAGGAGGAAAACTGTATATTTATAAAATAACCTGCTGTGTTGACGTATTTAAAGACATTTCTATTCATTTATTTTACAGAAACTAGCATTCTCAAAACACCAGGGTCCAAAGAAGCCTTTGGTTCGTCTCAGCTATCTGCTCAAGAAGGCATTTTAATTTTCCGTCTATGTGGCTGGGTACTAAGTTGGACTCTCAGATATCAAGTGGAACAGATTTATACTAGAATGAGAGAACAGCAGAAGTATTAGCTTTTAGTGTGCCAGACTAAACACTCTCGTGTCCAAGCAGTTGCATTCACTGCTCCTTGGGTAATCCCTGCAATCAAAGCATATGGTCCGCAGAAGGCCAATAAATCAGACAGCAACAGTCAGACCTGGGGATGAAGAGCTGTAAGTCCCAACTGCCACCTACCCACCCTGACTACAGGGGAAGTCACTTAAAACTCGTGTTGCCTCAGCTTTCTTCATGAGGATAACACTTTCCTGCCCAAGAGACAAGGCTCACTAAATATGAAGTTAGGTAGATTCTCAATAGTGGAATTCTAAATTAATGCATTGGACATACGGGTGCACAGGCCTAAATGTCAGGAGTCCTGGCTGACACACAGCACAGCACTGCACGTGAATCTTGCTCCAGAGCCCTCCAGGTCGGCCGTCAGGAGCAGATACCCATTTGGAACCACTTAGACCATCACATAGGTTTCTACAAAACTTATTGATATTTACTTTGAAGCATCTTTATGGAAATCAAACTGGAAACGGAGCCAGAATTTACACCGCATGTTGTTTATAGTTTTGCTGTTTCTCTGGCCACCAGCTCACCCTCAGAACTCGTAGTCACAAGCACCAGCACAGACAACGTAAGCCGGCTTGCTGAGCTGCCAACATGTCATCGCGCTGCTGTTGCAACACGGTGCTCCAAGCGCTCAGTGCAGACAATGCAGACCAGACCAGGCACACGGGGCCATAAAAACCCCTTTTTCCAGTTGTTTTCTCTTAATTCCATCTTTCGCACTCTAACCTGTACTCTTAAGCTGGCAAAGGAAGCATTTTCTTTCTGGAGGCACACATGATAGATTAAACCCTTCTCTCCACTACTTAACGTCTTTGCTATCACACCAGCATACCTACATTACCACAAGAAACTTCTTGACACCAAAACTCACCACTTGCTAAAGGTTTCTTGCATTTGAGAGAGACAGACATATTTTATCACATACATATTCATACTGAAGACTTACTCCCAACATATTTCTCCTTAAAAATATTTTCTTGTATTAAAAACTGATTATTAAAATTGAGGCAATTATCACAATTTATCTTCAGCCTTCAGGAATACTGGTTTTCATTATTTCACTCAATTTAGCTAACAAAATTAACCAGTTTCATTTTTTTTGTTTATGATACTGCAGGCACAGCTGTGATTAAATTACTCAATACCTTTCCTAAAATAGGCTATTACATTTTTTAAAGTTTCTGATTTATTTACAAATACAGCACATTTATCTTAAATGCACAGGTGTATCAGTAATATCAGACTAGGAGCTGTATCATATACTCAAATGAAATTAGTTCATTCAAACTGAAGTTTTGGAAGGAAGACAACTGTGTTATGTTAAATAAGGGCACTTTTTGACAAACAACTCCAATATCACTGTGAAAACTTTCACCTCTCTGTATTGCCATGTGCAACTCATTTGGACCAACTTTCTTCTTATTAATACTCTCATTACAAGAGCAGCTGTTCAAGCTTTGCCATTTCAAGCATATGACACATATGCATCCCCTCCTAGACATTCTTTAGTTCCCCTTTTCATTGCACTCCACCTTATTTTGGCATGTCCTCAAGAGGCTTCCTCTGTTCTCAGCACTTAATCTCTGAAACTTGTCGTGTCCATCAATTCATACAGGAAGAATTTGACAGCAATATACCCCAGGAGCAGAAAAAATGTTTGTGGGCTAACACACCAGTGAAAAAAACGCTCTGTTTCTTGTGCCTAAGTGGCTACCAAATTAAAAGGACAACTAAACAACTAATTTTGCTTGAAGAGAGCACATATAGCATCCAGTCCTGTCAGGCAAAAGGGCAGTGATAAAGAATGTCAAATCCTGCAATTCTTGCTCTTCAAATACCTGAAATATTAACTTAGAGACTACTTATGACTTGTCATAATTAATTAGATGAATCCTATTCACAGCCTCCAGACTGCTTTCCATTACACAAATTAAACGATATTTTCTGGAGTTTCTTGGCAAAACTGTGCCAGTTACCAAAGCATTATGCTGGTTAGTAGTTTTTCTATAAAATAACGACTGTCTGAATAACTGTAACCGTCTGAGCTCCTAAATCCAGGCCCTTAGCACAGTCAGCACTGAATTGTCGTAGCGTGTAGAGAGATGAAACTATCTGAATATGCAATGTCTTCTCTGCTTAGTATACACATGCAAGGCTGAAGCGAACAGAGAAAGTGACCGGAAAAAAGCAATCCTCCTACCTCATATCCAAACTGGAGTTCATCCGAGGTTAGCATAATGATATCGTCATCAATAGCCAACACTGCCTCTGTTTCAATCTCATCGTAGGGGAAGAAGCGGTTACTAAGTTTGTTTTCTGCAGTTCTAACAACTTTCAGTGGAACCCGAATCTTTGGCCACAGGGAATCTGATGAGAGAAAAAAAAAAGAAATATAATTCAATATTATAATTTATTTCTGAACAAGACAGCATTCCCACCTCAAAAATCTCTTCAGTCCTCTTTACTCACATCTGAAAAAAAAACAACTTTTGATGGTGAACTTATATCTTTCGGTTAGGCAAAACTGTAAATACATGAAGGAAAGAGAGCAGAAGCTCAGTTACATTTTTTTTGCTAAGAGCTTCACAGATAGCTGTCTGTGGGGACAGCTTGGCCACCACTGCAGTGGGATAATCACATATCAAGAAAGGGGGATAGGGGATATCAAGAAACACTGGTTTAGGACATGAGGCAGGAAAAAATATTCTATTCACAATTTTATTCACACAATACTGATGAAAAATACAGAAATACATACTGCTTAAAGATGCCAGTATCCAAATACTATTTCACCGGGAAAACAAAACCCTCTTTCCAAACCACACCAAGAGTCTTCAAAAGTCAGTTTTCCTTGAAGCTGTTTTGGAAAGAGGACAGGCATGCAAGCGCTGCCAAAAGAAAGGGGAATAAATACAGAGATATATATTTTATTCAGCTTCCTGCCCAACGGTTGTTCTTGTGGGACTGAAAAGAAGTGACAATATAAAATCTACCTTTATCAGGCGCCCGAGTGACCATGGCTGGTATTGTCCCCATTGTGGATGCTTTGCTTCAGTTCTAGTCCCCTCTTCACCCTCTAGCAGATGCCTACTCGGATGGCTCTGCACAGCGGCTCGCAGCCGCACGCCAGGCTGGACCCCTGCTACTGCCCAGGGGCTGCAGTGGAAGCCACTGCCCAGCTGCAGCCAGAGACACGGGGCAAATCCCCAGGAGCACAACAAAAACGTACAGGAGGACAGGGAAAGTGAGAAGCCCCTAGGAATGAGAATTCACTCAGCAAAGCAGGCAAGGAAGGATGCTTTAAACTTCTAGTTCTTTGGGAAACCACCTGCTTGACAGCTTGCTGTGAGGATAGCCACTTACAAAAAAAGACTAAAAAAGGAAAAAAAGGAATGATAGGTGTACGAAAAATGAAAGTGTAACCTAATTATCATCTGCATGCAGCTCAGACATGAACAGATTCTTATAAAGTCACGCGACTTACTAAGATCTTGGAAATTCTCTCAAGGTCACCAAGTCTCAAAGAGGTACGTGCTGTAAAATATTTGTATTTTGAGAAACAAGCTACAAAGTTTCTGATCTGGATTTATAGGAAAGATCAGAAAATACCAGCATTTTCAGAAAGCTTAAATAATACATGAGGGTACCATTTTGTGCTATGCACAATGAAAGAAAACATTAGATTATGCAATGCCCTAGGCTGATGTGATACTAAAATTTGCTCCACCTGTGAAGACAGAAGCACATGGGATATATAAAGGCACAATGTCAGCCTTTGTGGGCAGCTACTGTACTGATTACTTGAGCAAAAAAAGAGAAAAAAAATACACACTATCACAAAGCATTCTGGCTCCTTTCTGAGATGGAGGTGACTGTCAGAAAGTCTCATAATTCAAAGACTTTTTGGTCCCAAACCAGCCCTGCTACAAAGGTTCCAACAGAAAGACAGAGCCAATTAAAAAAGACCACAGCTACTAAAGAAACCAAAGTTTTAGAATCCACAGAAAGGTTAAAACTGTCCGTAATTACTTTGGAAGTCCATAAAAGAGGAGTATTTGTACTTTTTCTTTAAATACATACTAGGAATGAGGCTTAAAAATAGAGTTTGAGACGAAGTGTGTCACTTCTGCAATATCACACTCTGAATTATCAGCTATTGCTTGGAAAGGTAAGGTTCAGAGAAACCCGAGCACTAGTAAAGCACATTTAGGGAAAAAAACTCATTTCAGAATATTGGTTTATAACCAAGAAAGTATTTGTCCATCCCTATTTTACCTTACAGCAGAGCAGCTTTGCATAATTTAATGGAGTATGACAAAGATGAGACAAAAAGTAACAGACAAGGCAGACAAACTCTTAAAATCACTGAAGAACCTCTAAGCATATGAGAGTAAAAATGTGTGTTTGATCCTGCTAATTTAATGAGGGCTTTCTGTGATGAACCGAAATGTTAACAATCGGATCTCTGGAGCACAGAAAAATCCAGCTACACATCCAATCTGAAGGGTGGGTAACAAGCTCCTGCTCTTGCACGTCCTATTGAAAAGGCAACAGGAGAGCAGTGCTTGGACACCATGTACACTTGCTGTCTGGCTCAGGACATTCCCGACACTTAGTGCTATTTGGGACCACTGATGCAAGACCTACCCACAGAGAAAGCCTTGTGGTCTTCTAAAAACAGGTATAGCATCTGTTAAACTGCCTGGGAAAGATCTGAGACATCAGCGGTTTCCAAACTTTTCCAAATGCAGCTTCCAATTCCAGTGGCTTGCAATCCCAAATAACCACATACACAACTGCATTTTGGGCCCGTCCATAATCCCACCATAAATTCTGCAGCTCTGCATCAGACAGCAAATTTTTCAAGCATGATTTCAAGATGATTTCCACAAACTACAAGACCAAACTCAGTGCTGATGTCACATGCTCCAAGGAAAAAGTGCCCTAACCACATTTCCATTTAAAACACCTAATTCTAAAAATTTAAAATAAAAAATAATTGAAATAAAAATCTAAATTTAAAAGTTTAAAACAAAAAATAAAATGTAATATTAATAGATATTAATGAAGAATAGTAAAATATATCCTCTAAACATGCACTTCCAATTAGAACTCCCAGTTGAATTACATGAAAGGCAGAGAAGAGAAGGAAGAGATGGGCATAAGACAAAGGCAATTTCATTACAATCTAAAGCACCTTTTGCCTTCCACCTCATCTCTACAGCCTTAAAATTTTTGTTAAGCCAAATTTAGAGAGCAACTTTATTAGAAAAATAACATGACAAAATGATCATTATGTAGACAATATTGTAATTTTCACATGAAAAGGAAAGATTTTGTAAAGTAATATAATTCATGGGAGACAGAAATGATCACCAATCAGTCCTTTATCTAATTAGGAAGTGGCATCAAGTACATTGTGAAGCAGACACTTAATTCAAAACATAAGTAATATAAGTTCAACAAAATGTTCCTAGCAGGACCAGTCACTAAAGGCACACTATACAAAAAATGTGCCACAGGGGAGGAAAAAAAAAAAAAAAAAGAAAAGAAAAAAAGGACAGCTCTTTCTTAAGTTAGAGCAATTCATAGCATATGCAGATTCATTGTCTCAGTGTTTTATATCAGTGCTGTCCACTAGTACTGCCAAACTGAAATAGGGAGGATAACAATATCCATAAGCCCCAGAGTCTGCAGCTTATTATGAGTTTATCAGCAACTTAGCTCCAGGATATAACTGACACAACTGACTCAACTACACAGAAAATACACTCTTTAAAATACACCTTTGATTTTTACAAAACTGAACCTAAAAAAAGGAGTCAAACTACCACACACTTGGCTTGTAGCTTGTTGCATATTTACAAATAGTAATGCATTTATAGCTCTCTCTTTATATAAATATATTTACATGATAGATAAGATTGTGTAATTAAAAGTAACAGGAAATTTCTACCATAGACCATTTTCTTGAATTTCAGAACCTTTGAAGAATTTGAATAAAGACTTAAATTCAATAGAAAAAAGCAAAAGTATTTGGGTGAACAGAGGGGGAAAAATCCTGTCCATGCAAATACTTCCAGGAGCAGACACTTGAACCACAATGTTTATTTTAAAGGATGCAGAGTGAATTGAAAAAAAAAAGATTTTCTCTTATATTTCAAAACTTTTAACCATTTTTTTATTAACACCAAACATGTAGTCATGACTTTGCTGACACTACTGTCGTATTCACAGTAGTGAACTTATCTACACTGTTTGGCTGAGTATATATGCAATACTCAGTGAAAAATACAGATCAGAAATAACAAGCCCTAAATCCAGAGAGCACCTAAAATCAGGAAAATGATTCTAAAATGTGCCATATTAAATTCATCATCATCTATGACAGTTCCTCCCTATTGTTTCACATACAGGATCCAGTATTTTGACCATGATAAATACTCTGAAAACCTCTAAAAGCCTGCACAAAGCTTCTGGGTTACTCACATACTCCTTTGCTGTGGCCGTTTTACCTTTAATCCTCAGACACGGGTTAGGCTCTGAGTTCAAACGCAGGAGATCAGATCCTTGGTTTCCAAACACATCCAAAACAGCGTTCCCACTTTAGCACAGTGACTCAGCAGTAACATCAAAATACACAATATAGCTTCCACCAGATATACCTATGTCTACACGTCTCTCTCAATTAGAAAGTATGGGAAGGAAGGCTGTTCAGCCAAGCCAAACCCAGACCAAAGCGCAAGATGTTCGACACAAAGGTATTATTATCAGTATATAAGCACTCATAAATAAATAAATAAATAAATGATTGATTGATTGATTTTAATATTTGCATGTACTTGAACCCTTCCATTCCTAAGGACAATGGAAATATTGAATATTTATTTCTAATACATGTTGCTCTGATGACAATGTCAAGAGTATTCAGTGTCATTTTCAATTATACTATTCTAGTGTTGGTGAGAGAAAGCAAAGGGCAGCCACATGCCATATTTATATAGCACTACACCAGTTACCCTCAGAACACCCCAGTCCAAGCCCAGGTTTACTGTACATCATCACAAAGGAAAATACCTTTGATGTCCTTCCTCGGCCTTCCCACTTCCATATATAAAACAAAATAAAAACATGGAGGACTGTAATGACAAAAGGCAAGATTTTTTTCCATACAGAAATGTGTCCCTTATATGGAAATGACCAGGAAATAGGGCACTCGATGCTCTCGGAGGTTAAGCGCCTCAGCTTTACTATAACCAATTAAAAGAGAATAGCCATAAAAGTGCAGATACTACTGTAGGGTAATAAACCAGCCTTTATCAGTGACAGTGGTGCACATTACAGACTTCAAACTCATTCCTTGCCCTAATCCATCAGAAACTTCCTGGCTTTAACAGGCTATAAATGGCAGAAGCTTTGAAGTCCAAGGATTAGGCTCGCTAATAGACAGGCTGAACAAGAGCCCGGCTGAAGAGCCAAGTGGAAGGCCCTGCATGGATCTGAAATAAAGCAAATTAATTCAATCAAACTGACCTCTCTTTGGCCATGGCCCAAGAGATTACAGCGTTATAACAGCAATAAAGAAACAAGGAACATTAGAAACAAATAGTTATTTACTTCAACACAACACTCAGTCTAAAATAAGGGCAAAACTGCCTGAGCTCTCAACTGGTAACAAATCCTTTTTTTTTTTTTGAGGTGGGTTAATTAGTACTATTCAAAGCAGAAAGAAATCACCTGCTTTAATTTAAAAGAATTTCAAAATGCAAGATTAAAAAAATTATTCTCATAATTTATTTGCTTCCACTCTCCTTTACCTCAGGCTCACTCAAAGGAAAACCTGGAAGCAATTCACTGGGGTCAAATCTATCCACATACACTGGATACAGCAGAATTAATATAACATCATGCATGTTGAAAAACAAACAAACAAACAAAACAAACAACAACAAAACCTTCCTGCAAAAACTTTAGTATCATCAATCTATACCCAACAATTCTCACTTCAAAAGACTGCAAAACATTTAATAAACCATTAAATTTGAGGCATTCAGCACAGCCATATTACAGAACATTGTGAAGTGAAAAACAAAGCTACTCCACTCTAAACTGCAGCAACTGGCCAACACGGGCAGCGAGCCAGGTCGATGGCAGTAATAGCTTGACTCCTGAGAAGCTGGCAGAAGATCCTAAGTTGAAACAAGTGGTCAGGAATTAATTTTTACAATGCATCTTACTGCTATGCAGGACAGCCAATTTGCAGGGGCAGGAAAGCAGCAGCCAAAGCTTCTGGAAGAGAATTACAAAGCAAGAAACTCTAAAGACATGCCTCATTTGAAGAGAGATGAATTTACTCAGTGCTTTATCATCAGATTTATAATTCTTTAAACACTTATTCCAAGAAGGAGATACTTCTTTTCCCACAAATACACCACCTACATATTTAGAAAAGAATGCCCGAGTCACATACATCACACAAACTCATTCACCACTGTGCAGACAGTATTTAATCACAGACATGTAAGATTTATTACTTGCCTGCAACAACGGTCAGGATTTGATCCTAAGTGCCCACAACTGCAAGGAGCTCATGCCTCACAGCAGTAAGCACAAAATGAAACGGGCACCCCAGGCCTTGCTGCCTCACACTGGAAACGAGCACCACAGGTCACCTTGAGCAGCTTCCCGTTGGACAGGGCAACGGCTCCTGGACCTCCAACCTGCTCCACAGGGAGCTGGCGAAGGAGCTCCCCAAGCCCGGATCTACGCGTCCCGCTGGGGCAGGGGGAGAAGCACGGTGGCAGAACGGGCTCACGATGCAGAGAGCCCAGGGCTGCCGAGTGCCACGCAGCCTGCGCTGGCACTGCATGGAGGGACGTGGAGCCACGCAGCATCACGGCGCGGGTTTGGAAAGGCAGCAGCTAACTGCAAGAGCGAGGTCCTGAAAGAGGGCTCAGCACATAAATGAGAGCATCTGCAGCATCATAGAATTGGGAAACAAGGCTATTTGGTGAGAGAGCAGAAGTGGTAGCATCTTGGGGCTTTTTGTCCTTGCTGTAAGGAGGCATAACAAGTGCAGGAGAATACCTGAGCTGAGAAGACCTCAGGGGAGGGCATGTGTTCAACCCTTCTGCTCCTGTCCAATTCAGGAGTTTTGACAGCTGCTGATTGACAATATTGGTGGAAGCGGAGCTGATCAACACAGCTATGGCAGTAACAGCCTAGAAAAATCACACTTCTGTGTGCAGACCACCGTGCAGAAAAGGCTGTAATGGTAGCTTTGCTATTTGAAGTTACACCTGAACTAAAAAGATATTTGTTGAACAGAATGGCAGCACACCCTGCCAGCAAAGCACAGCCTTAAATATCACAAATTAAAAAGCAAAGTTTTACATCATTGAGCTCACAGCTGGGTCATTCACATCCTTCTGAAATCAAATTTTCTCTCAACAATCTACAAATTTCATTTATTTAGGAAACAGTCTGTGAAAGCGTCCTCATTTTTTTAAAATAACCATGAATTCAAAAGTCTATAATATCCGGCAGGCTTCAGCACACTCATTCATAAGCTATAAAACACAGAATCAGGTGTGCTGGCAACCGAAACACTTCCATACAGGCCCATATGTCATTCCTCCCCTTACCAGGTCAGCCTGAGCCTTTTTACAAGATATTCTGTTAGTCTGGGAACTTCTTTTCAGACACCTGAAATGTCCCAAAATTTCATTTCATCAGTCAGCATACATTTATTTTATATCTCCAAACATTCAAAACACCTTGCTGCTTTGAATCAAATTTGCTCTGGAAAACTTTCTAGCAGGATAATGTAGCAAGATAAGCATTCACTGGGATAAAAAGTGGTTAGAGAGTATTAAAACTAAGCATGGACAAATAAGATAAGTCTCTCCTTCCATAGAATGGTTAAGGTTGGAAAGGACCTCCAGAGATCATCTAGTCCAACCCCCCTGCACACGCAGGGTCACCTAGAGCACGTGGCACAGGACTGCGTTCAAGTGACTTTGAAGATCTCCAGAAAGGGAGACTGCACAACCAAAATAAAGTTAACTAAAAAACAGCGCTTCTGTAACTACTGCATCATTGCCGTTAATTCAGAAACTGGCAGTAGCATCATGGGCTTGCTTTTCTTCGTTTTATATACTTCGGCGCTTCTCACTTCCGTTTCTGAAAGGCTGTCACCAAAAAATACACATTTTTTATTTTGCAAGTAACAATAAAACAGCTTTTGAGTAGGAGAGAGGTCGCTTTGTGGCAGGTGCAGTTGACAGGCTACTCCCGGTTCCCCCCTCCTCCACCGCCAGCCACGAGGTCCTACCTTCTGGGGGATTCTTGTTCTGGTTGTTCCAGACAACCAGCAGTTTGGACAGACTGGGCACTTTGGACACTTCAGTGATGACTCGGAAAAGGCTCTCCACACGGTCGTAGGTCAGCACTATAGCTGTGAAACCTTGGGACTGCGGTGGGAAAAAGCGGGTTACTCACACTGCTCCATTTCTGTGGATGAAAACAGGAAAACGATTCAATCAAAGTGATTCATTGCATAGGGAGGAATTCACATAGTTAGAATCTGATTGTCAGAGCTGGAATGTGTTGGAACGGTGATTCAACAATCCTGGCACAAGTGTACTTCAACCACTCTGCAAATCCTTCCTTCCAGCTTCTTTCTGGAGTCTCTTTACTTTTGCTTAACCATACAGAAAGGGGCTTTAGGGAAGAAAAAAAAAAAACTTATACGGAGGAGACAGACAGGTTTGAGGGGAAGGGGGAATTCACTCTGGTGATTTCTGAGCTGAGCTAGCATGGCTCCATTCACTAATCACTACTAGGATTTTTTTTTTTTATATAATCTCAGTAAACAGACTTAATCAGCAGTACAATTTCAGAATGGAAAAGAGTTTAAAACAATAAAACCAAAGCAGCAAAAACACAGCCCTGACATAAAATAGGCACCCTACCGAAAAAGGTAAAAGCAGACACTAAAAGGAACCAAATTCCATAAAACTGGGTTTGTTCGTAAGAGGTGAAAAAAAAAATCTCCTGAATTTTGTAATTCTTTATAAAGAGAGGCATGAGATGCAAAGACTGATTTCAGTGAGTTATTTACTCCTCCTGAATTTTAACCAGGGCATCCCTTTTAAGACTTTAAGGCTCAACTGGCAAGAGACAAGACAGGTGATTAAGTCAGCACTGACGGTGCCAGCCGCGTTTGGAAGAGGTGCTGGCCGGAGGGAGCAGCCGAGGGCGCCGGGAGGGAGGAGTGACAGGGACGGAGCGGGGCCCCGGGAGGACGGAAACGCCGGCCCC